AATGTCATTGCAGTCTGGTTGTGTCAAAGAGGACGATGTTGAAAAAACAGGGAAAATGAAGCTGGCTTTGTTTTAATTATAAGTTAAAAAATGCTAAAACACAGAGATCCCGCTCGTTACACTATCACTTTGTATCAAACAACTTATTTACATATCGGATTACATTTTTCATACAAATGGAGAGATCTATCAGAGCTGAGCAGAGGACAACTGAAATAATGAGGCAGTGAGATTTTTTTAGAATGCTTTACCATCACGTCCATGTAGGGGGAAAAAAAAGCATTTTCATCTGTTGTGTTTGCCTCATTTATTCTGCCCCTAAATGAGAAGCAAGAGATGAAACTGATGAACTTTTACTGCCCATTTGTCTATAGCAGACAATTAAGACGGAGCAGATCAAAATGGATTATCATACCGTGCAGAAGACTGGTGCAACACCAATACATCTTCAGGACTAGTTTCTTTCATTCAAGCCACCTTTTATCCTTTCTCTTTCTTCTTGTCCCTTTTTTTCTCTATAAAGGAAGAAGTACCAGCTTTATGGCTCAAGGGAAGCCAAAAGGCTAGGCATCATTATTCATTCCCAGATGTCAATCTAACCTCCTCTTTTCCCCCTGTTCCTAAAGCAACAGAGCCACAGTAATTTGAGACAGATTCTTTTACTGTATGGAACAAAGACCATCTCAGAATAAAACATCTTCCAACAACAAAGGGCATTTTTTTTTCTAGATCAAATAATTGTACAAGAGGGAAAAAATGCACATAAACAAGTAGAGGTGATTAGTCGGACCAGCTCAGCTTACTGAACATTTAGGATAATAGGGAATAGATTCAAAACCACCCACTGCTTCAAGTTTTCGAAGAAAGAATATGGTTGTGTGTTCACATGTGAAAGTGTATATATATAGAAAACTGCATTAGCTGTGAACAAGGGATTCTGATGAAGTGATACATACTTTCAATCAAACATCTCTCCATACAGCAGTGGCCATGTCTTGCATTGAGTTCTGCCCCTTGGACAGAATACTGTATATTATTTCTGTCTCACTGCAGAAAACTGTTACTACTTTCCATTAATTCAGCAACATAAAATCCATTAATTTTAAGATTTAAACAAGTTTTTTGTATCTGAAATGTGTGTTTTTGTTGTTACTGTGTTTTCAGGGCAGCTTAGAGTACATGATCGCAGTGCATTTAATACAAGAAACGAATTGTTTTCAGATTGTACCAAATTGTCAAGATACAATTACATTGAAAAGCATAATTCATATTTTGTAATTGAATTAAGTGTGTCATAAAAGCTTTCAAATGCAGATTTACACAATTTCAAAATATTAAGGCACAAAGCTTAAGTTCCCTTTTACAATCATGAATCAAAAAAGAACACGATCTGCAAAGTTTTCTAATCGCTTTATAAAATATACTTTGGAAGATAACTGATAAAAGACAAACATACTGCCAAATCCTTCTTGGTGCACACTGAGTTTCTTTACTGTTTGTCTGCATTAACCTGTTTATTAAATCTAAACATGTACCATCTGTTCTGGAAGCAAACACTGAATTTGACTTAAAGTTTCTCTACTATTGTCATTCAGTAATGCAGGCTTACGTACTGTAGATGGTTGCAGAAATTACTGCACATAACTTTATCTTAAGTTACAAAGATTTAAACTTATCTTGAAGACAGAAGAACAATTTAGCTAAGAGCTAGTGTGCATTCACATGACCGCAACAGACGCTGCAGTTTTCTAGACTCTCTTGTAAGTTCTCTTACTTTTGTACTCAAATGGCTGATGAAGTATCAATGAACTCATATAAAACCTCAGCACTGCAACTTCACTTTTTCATGACAAAAGTTCTTCATATTTGCAAGTTTTTTAAAAGAATGCTTAACGGAAAATTAGAAACGAAGAGAAATATACGACTCAAAAACTAAACTTTAATTGGGTTATTCACAAGGTTCTGTATGTGGAGTCTGTTTCTGAAAACCACAGCGACAGCCGAGTGATTTCCACAGGTTTCTGTTCATTGTCTCTTTAAGACCAGTCCTCACACTAGTGTTGACACGAGGACGTTGTGACACTAGCATTGAAATAATAACAGTTCTGTCAACAAACAACAGTTAAAGAAAGGATAGGTAATCATTGTTTCAAGCCACTATTTACCCGATTATTGACAGATAACCACAGAATTGATTCCACATTAAGAGAAGTTTGTGATCAAGAAGCTCTTTAATTCGAGAACGCAGAAATAGCTTACATACAGATGTCTAAATTCACGTGCAAGGAAGCCAACATGTTTGGTATTCCTGGAAGCATATCTAGATTGAGAGGTGATGGCTAACCTGAACAAGACACGTTAAACAGCTTTAAAAAGAGAGAAAATATTGTTTGAAGGTTTGTAAGTTACTATGGACCTACTAAACATTGTATGGAAAAAAAAACGCGTTTTAAATTAGCGCACAGCGAAATAATGCAAAGTGAATAGCAATTTACACATGGACATGGCCAGTGATTTTTTTTCTAAGCATCACATGCTCTGATCCAGTTTCTGGGATCTTCTACAGTGACTCCCCAAGTGAGAAATCTGAAATCGGGTGTGTTACCCCGGCATTCAGAGGCACAACAGCATCACTGCGGGATTGTCTGCAAGGGGCACCACCTGTAGCTCTGAGACATGCAGTGCTTGTAACCAGATTTATTATTTTTTCATGGCATCCAATAGTGTTAGCGGCAGTGCTTCCTAGTGTGGAAACGGGACTTATCGGAGTCACTCCTTGCACAATTTTCTCATTTCTCATGCACTTCAGGTAATAAGGAGTCCAAATGGGAATATGTGCTCTTATCTACACCACTGTTTTCTACAGACATAACAATACCACTGGTAATATCATACAAAACTGAACAATGAATTGGTCAGCATTGCACAATTAATAGTTTGGAATGAAAAACAGTATTGTACTGAAGTGTTTGCTATAAACAGTTATATGCATCGTGGTCTTCCACTTTCTCCGATCAGATCCTGCATTAACGCCTTGCCAAAGGTCTGCCAAGAAAGGATTTGTTCACCCAACTTTGGCAGACTTGCAGATGTCCTGCTCCTTTGCAGAAGGACTGTTCCAAGGCTGTTTTGCGCCTCTTTGATTTCAGCCCAGCATTCCCTTTGTCTAACAAAATGATCCGTTCCTGCCCTGTGAGTGTCTTTCCTTTTGAAATCATGCTAGATTCTCAGCTCATATTTGTTGCTTTCATTTTTCACCTCAACAATACAACACAGGAAATGTTTTTATCACTATAAACATTCTCGTAACTGCATATGTATTTGATAATTTTGTTATGTCATTTGAGCAGCATTTCATAGTCTGTAATGTCGATTACATCTAAGTCATACTTATGTTCACTAATCCTTTCCTCTCTTCTGTCAAACCCGACCTACTGTATAATATGTATATTAATTCAAGTCAATAGCCTGCAGTTCATTTTTTCCCTCAAAAGTGTGTTGTCCTATATGACTGAAGTTTAACCCCGTTCTGTTTCACGTAATGTTTTTTTCTACCTTAGCAGCACCCTCGTTAATAGCGAGGTACAAACTTTCATCATGTTACATATATTGAATTTTTATTGGAAAAGGGATTTGAATATTGTTTCATCTGTTTATAAAACTTTACAGTGCTTATTTGAGCAATATTTATAGTTCAGTGCCTGGACAGAGGTTTCTAAGCAAAAGCCATGCTCAGCTTTTTCAATACACCTCTTTTCTAACTCATAGGATATAACACAATAATAATATGATGCACTTTGACGAGGAATTAAATGAATAGGAACTGGAACACAATGACTTTTGTCTGGATAACTACAAGTTTTTATGTCTTTACAGACAGTAGACTTCACTCCAATATGTGGCAGATTTTTCCCTGAGATTTTTCCTGCAAGCCATGGTTTCTCACCATTTACTCTATAGTCCTATACTCTGTCAGACTCCCTGATTAAAAGAGAAAACAGAGCATTGCCAATTTTACATTTCTCTGAATTAATTCAGCTTCTAAAGGCTGCCTGCAGTCTTCTGACTGAGAGCAAACTATAGTTAATCACAAGTAGTAACAGTTTCTTGGGAGTAACAGAGGTAAAATATTAGGCAAATATGTTCTTCATCATGTTTTTTGGAAATTTCGAGTGTTTTTTATGAATAATATTCCTCACATGGGAGGACTTAGAGGACTTATATAGATTTATCTGTGTTCTTATTAGTTTGACACACACTTTATATGTCCAGAGAAAATGGAGGAGACAAGAGTCATAGGTGTATAATGATTTCCAATAATGCTTATATTTTTGCCAAAATTCTGTAACACACAGATGACTGTGATTTATACATAAGTCTTGTGTTTTTCAAATAACATGATGCCACAATACACTCCCAACCAATAAAGAACCAGTTACAGGACCAGCCCAGTTAAGGGCTTCAAATAACAAAATAAAATCCAGAGAAACTCTACATGCATTTCTTCCTGTGTTTTTGTACACAAATGGCCAGACCTGGCTCTTTCAGCTAAAACCAGTAAACCCAGACCCCAGACCTAAAACTGGTCACAGCCTGATTTCTATAATACTTCAGAAATATTAAACAAATACATCTCAACAACAACAACAACAAAAAAAAAATATGGTGAATTTACAATGTTCTTATCATAATTGCCTACATTCACAGAAGCAAATTCCAAAAGTTCATTCACTTTGAAAACAGACAAGGAAATGCAATGCAGCAAAGCAAAACGTGTAAAAATCCACCTCGATGCCTTGAGACCTCCGCACATGATATTTGCCAGAGCCGAGGTAGTGAGATGGAAGGTATGCATGTGTGTACGTGTTTAAAAATTCATTATTTTTTATATAAAGGAATGATTGCTGGGCTATACGGACAGCAAGTGCAAATGAAAGAGGCATAAACAGTAAGGAAGAGGAAGAGAAAGAAAGGAAGAAAGTTAATTACGCATTCCAAACCTGGTCGATGTAGTCTTCGGGGAATTGCCTTCGCACCTCAGGATCTGTAAATAATTGACAGATAATATTAATTGGCTTTGGATTAGTGAGCAAGCAGAGTATCACACATTAATATTTGATCAGAAGATGATAGGGACCCTAGCAGGGGATCCGAAGGGGCAGCTGAGGCTGTTATGTTGATTAGGCCAGGAAAGAACTATTCAAGGCGTTACCCTTTGCCCGTCTCCAGAAAAAAAAAAGAAAGAAAAGAGGAAAATGATTTGATGCTCGTGTTAGCTCGAGGCTGCTATCTTGCCTAACCTCCTACTGGCAGCAAATTGCCTGCTGGATGTATTGCCAGAGAAAAAATCACAACGACTTTCAAACCTGCTTTGATTGTTATTTTATTAGCTACCACGTTCAGACAGCCAACAGAGACCGGTATGATATATGTCCCAAATTTGGGATACACACATTTCTCCCAGTCCTCTGATGTTCCAGTACCAGTTTCCAACGGCGTGCAGACCCCGTTATCGGGAAATTTGACTTATGAATAATAAGGGACGTGCTGCAGGGTCAATATATTGTATGGAAATCTTCCAAAAAATTTACTAAACAATTCCTGGAGGCTAATTAAAGTGCGGCTGAACCTCTCACAGCGTGCATGACAGTCGTATTAAAGATTTAAGGGGAGAAAAGAGATGGAGCAGAAACAGAAGAACCCAAATGACAAAAATATCCCTCTCATCTAACATACGCTGTAATTTGTTTTGTCAAAATTGTTTTATCACTACAGATTTAAAGCTATCTGGCAGCCTGCTGGTACATCTGAACTCATAACACAAAAGCTTTCACATGTTACTTTTGGTAAATGCTATTTACATTACCAGACAGGGATGCAAGCCCCATTGTTTTTAAAAAAAATGACTGTTTTAAACCCTCAGATATAGACTACTGGGTCGAATGTGAATCTAAATTCAAATGTGGCTGAATTTACTGAACTGTGGCCCCTTGTGTTTAATTTTACACAGATTATTAGGAGCGAAAACTTTAGCTGGTCAGGAAAACCTGACAGTCTCCAAAAACTGATCATTTAGAAATCACACTAGCTTGCAGCCCGATCACCTCTAGCTAGTGTTTTTAATGAGCGTCCTACTTTGGATTATCACTACATTTGTCTCAGAAAATATGCTAATCAGAGAGCAGGGATTGTTTTGCTAAAAGAGAAATTCAACAACATACTATCATTCAATTACATAAAGCTACATTCACTAATAATAATAACACTTGTCTCTCTAAAGTAAATTAGCTTACTGGCTAGACATTGCCAAAAGACAAGATAACAGTTATCCTCTATCCCCACTGAAGAGACATTTGACAGAATTGTTGTGAGAGCATAAAAGGATGCAAATCAGTTCATTTAGCTCATTTAGATGTTAGCAGCTTGATAAACAAAGAATTCTGTCCTTTATTCCATTTTTAAAGCATCCCGCAGAGTCTAGTTCAACCACATGACTACAGAGCTGATTCCAAAACACAACAATCCTCTCTCTAGAGAAGTATCCCCCGTTTCTGTCCTGAATGACTCTCGATGCCACTTGTGACTCCAAGTCCTTGTATTACTGCTCCTCTTAAAGAAGTCCCCTGAGCTGCCTCGGTCAATATTCTTCAGGATCTCCCTCATAACCACCTCTCTTCCAAGCTAAAAAGATTCTGTTCCCTTTGAATGTCTGAGAACTACAATAAACTCAAACCAGGAATTAGCCTGTTTGCTCTACATCTATTGCATCTAGAGGAGCATCTTTCCTGTAGTGTGGCACCCAAACTCGACCACAATATTCCAGGTGAACTTGTGCTTCAAATAATTTTAACGTGATTTAAAAACTGCATTCTTTCCAGTGATTTCACAAATCCCAAATTAGCACTAATTTTGGAATACCTAACGTCATTTCAGATAAGTCTAAGAGGTAGGCTAAGCTGGTCTGTGAAATCAGCCCTGAGATTTTGTTATATTAATATTGAAATAAACCCTTGGCATTCTTTTTTCTCGTTTGGCCCTTTCCAGTACAATCTGTGGTAAATGCTTCTAACTCAGGGTCCTCTCAGTGCTTTGCCTTGGTCTCTTTTCCATTCTCTACAAAGAATTTTCTTTTTATGTTCTTCTTCTAGTAACCTATAAAGCCATTCTGGCCAACATTTGTCAAACTTTGATATAAAGATTTCTTCTTCTAAACAAAACTGATCAATTGTTGCATACATCTTGAAAAAGAAAGATGTATTTTAAGTAGAAGCAAGATCAGATTTTAGCAATATGTCTTGAAGAAGGCAAACGTGATCCATTATTACATTCTTAAATAAAGTGGAGAACAATTACATTAGTTCTTGTACATACCCATAGAGTATTGTATCCTGAATTTAATATGAAAACCAAGGGCTAGTTGGTCTTTCAGTGTGACAAGACCATGTTAAGATAGAGGCATAAATACATGTTTTTTCCAGTGTTTGAATTTATTAGCTACTCCACAAAAACATTTCAGTGAATTTCTGTAAAATAACAGATACTAAATATATTTAATCAAGGAACTGATAAGACAAATTATTAAACGAATCACACAAAAAAAGAAAACAACATACAAGAGCACTAAGTTAATTTGAAGAGCAAGCCTATATACAGGTTTTTTATGGCTTCACAACTTGCGAGTGAAAAATTCAGACCATGAATAATGTTTGTACAGGGGCCTAGAGCTGAGCACAGCTATCTGACCCACTTCATCCCTTTAAAGATTTTATTAACGAGCTCTTCTTTACTTCTTGTCTTGGAATGCTTCTGGGAGGAATTCAAAGAATCTTGTTATTATTCCAAATTTCGAATCTCGGCACTATATTCTTAAGCCAAGTAGTGCCTTTACAAAGTATATTAGTATTTTACTGCCCATAAATTTCCATCAAATGGACGTCTGATTAATTAAGCAGTACTTTCTTGATTAATCTCCTTGGGAAGGTTTTTTTTATAGAACAAAAACCTGGAAAGATTATCCATTCATCACATATGCAAATTCCCTGTAAGAAACCAGTTTTCAATCTTATACTGAATCCTATATTTCAATCTTATAATTGAAAACACAAACTACAACTTTTAGTCTTTAAAGAGTCTTACGAAATGATAAGAAAGTGTGACAGTGATCCAAATGATCACTCTTATTTGAAATTTAACCTTGCTAAAACATACTTTCTAGAATATTGTGACTGAATACTGTGCTTTTCCAACCAAAACATGTGGAAAACGAAATAAATGTATCCAACTCAATATAGAAGTTGCCTCTTACAAACACCCATTGAACTTTGATGGAAAGCAAGTTCAGTGAAGTTTATAAAGCAGTGTGTTCTGCTTCTGCAGATGTGCTATCCTGTTGTGCATATTCAACATAACACAACAAGGCTCTTTATGTTAATGGTAGACAAAAGACTCTACTTCACAGTGCACTGACATGGATTTTTTCAAATAAAGCACTGCTATATTCTAACACCTAAAGTCACTCAGTGTTGACTAGATTTGTAACACCTGAGCCAGCACTTATGACATAAATCTAAAAACACCAAACAATGCATTTGCAAAAGTGGTATATTGAAAGGAAGTACAAGCCAGGTATTCACACCTGGTGGTCTGATCTAGCTGGTGCTGGTAGTACCTTCTATCCCTCTTGATCAAATCAGATCTCAATTTTTAAATTGTCCCTCTGCACTGGAAAGGTTAAATTCCACTCCATGCTTAGACAACCTAGCCTACTAAAAGTTCCCCTGTACAGCTGATGAAGTCGTTTTTCACTTCCTACCTTATCTAAGGCTGTACACTCTACTTATTTTCTTTGCTTCTGAAACACCCAAAAAACTTACAACTCAGGGACTAAATGAATACATTCTGCTCAACTGGCATCTAGTGAAGACAATTAGTCAGTGACTGCTAACTGTGTTGTAAAGGGAGTTAAGTTAATGCAGCATAAACACCAAATATACAAACAATACAAACAATACTAAGTACAGTACACAGGATAATACCTTTACATGTAAACTGGGAAAGTGTCTAATAAATTTCCTGGAACATTTCAGATGTTCGACTCAATTCATAATCTGTAAGCATAAAAAAACGAAAATTCAATCAAAGCCTTAAATTAATCTACGGATAGAAATCAGCACATTACTAACATTTTACAGATTATATCATTCTGACACGTGGGCAAGTCCCCTTTCATTTCAGGACTTCATGAGAAAATCCCAGAAACCTCCAAAATACACATGAAAAAAACAAGGTAACACTCAGACTACAGAATACTTTATAAAGCTTGTAAGTTTCACGAAGGGGAAAACGCAGCTCTACATAAGCTCTGTATCTTTTTTGCCAGAAGTACGTTAACTTACTGCTTCGTTGGCCATTAAAAATTCATAAACTTCTAAAAAGAAAGGCCTATGTTGCTGAAAAAGGTCCTTTATTTGAAAGGTGCTGCAAATAATCTGCTTTGTGTGCAGTTCTTCTTAAATAACAGAACACTTTTCTTACAAACTGCAGCAGCATGGAACATGTACAAAACCTGGCACCCTACTGTTGAGCAAACCATCTTTAAATTTTCTGCCTGGCAGCAATCCATTTGTGTGTCACTCTGTTTTTCCAATACTTCATGTACTGCATTGCATCTGCTGTATTTAATGGACTTTTAAATGAACTTTAATGTGGAAAATAATGCAACCAGAAAACAAAAACGAGTCAATCCCGATTCACATATACTGGATATCTACACGAGCACCACAATATCACAGGAAATTGAAAAAACCACAACAAAACACAACTTCACTATAAAACACTGTTCCAAAACAACTCCATACATATTTCGCTCAAATACAGCTTACAAAAGAAATTCAATATACTTCACATTTCAAAAAGAGGAGGCGAAGAGAATTCTGCAAGCACCACAAAATGCACCGTTAAACCAGTCCGCCCAGGTCCTTGCAGCTGTGCAGCTAAGTGGTTAGCACTCCAGACCTCCTGCTGGAAGATTGTGGGCACAGTTCC